GTGTGTGTGTGTGTGTGTGTGTGTGTGTGTGTGTGTGTGTGTGTGTGCGTGTGTGTGTGTGTTTCATAAAGAAACAAAGACAGTTAACTGAACTTGTAGCTCACCTGGTCGAAGAAAAACACGGGGCGGATCCGCTCGTGCGCCATGACGCTGCAGCCATCACATCCTGGGAGGAAAGAGCAACTCAGAAAACATTCAAACACAGATAAACAGTCTATAACAGCAGCTAATCTGACGAAGTCTCAACATTATTGTCCTCAAGTGCTTGGCTTGTTGCTAGGATACGCACCTCCTCGCCATTCTCCGTGTTACGCACCAGCAACAACCATGGTTCGGCTCACTGACTCAGAACATGTCAGAGAGTAAATTGCAACACATTACCGTGTAAACCAGTCAGGGTTTGTGAGTAAATGGGCTCCTGGAGCAGGTGACTCCTGCCTCACATGCAGAGGGGCTGCAGGTGCGCTCTGTTACCTGAAACCCTGACGCGCCTGCGCCTCAGATAAAGGGATGAGTTGTGGCGCGCGCAATAACTTATAGATAACTTCAACTTTCGTGGAACACACTAGATTTGTGTTGCATTTTTACAATTTAACCCAGACTGTTTGTTCTTCTGTTGGAATAAAGAACAAGATGATAATCTAAGTTTTTGCGCATTGGATAAGAAGTCCCCCCCCACCTCCCCCAGCAGGAACTCGTTGAACAGCTCGGTATTGGCTGCGCTTGTTTCCACTCTGACCACTGGAGGCTCCCAGCAGCCAGTGCGTCACTTCGCCTCCTCAGTCTCTCCAGCAGCAGCGGATCATGGAGGAGCTGCAGCCGCCGCGCGGAGGAGAACCTCAACTTCTCAACGGAGACTTGACGGAGGAGAGAGAGGACGCAGAAGTGGTGAAGAGGAAGAAAAGAAAGAAGAAGAGGAATAATAACATCAGGACCACAGCATCAGGTGAGATTACCTGCTCCGACTCACAGAGTATCAGTATGTGGGACAGGAGACTTTTCGACCTGTCAGTCATTATGAAGTGGCAGAAAGTTGAAGCTCGAGGGAAATTTTGATTTTTTTTTTATTCTGTTCTAAAATAAATACATTGTTTTTTAAAATAAGGGATTTTAAGTTGCAGAAAGAGCAACAGTTTTGTGCAGTGAGACTGATCCTCGACTATTTCATGTCAATGATAAACACTAAATCACCAAAATGTCACACTTAAGCTTCAAAAGTCACAACACTGCAGGTCTGCGTGTCCTTCTGGACTTCTAAGGACAAGAATTTGTGCAAAGGCCAAGTTCAGAGAGCTTCACAGTCTCTGAGCCAAACGTAATCACCTTCCTTTGTGTGTGAGTTCACCTGTACATGTATGCACCATGTGTGCGTGTGACTTTGCAGCAGGGACAAATGAAGCCGAGGGGGACGACGGAGAAGCCAGAGGTGTTGGTGATGTGACTAAACAGCTGGAGGAGCAAACGCTGGAAGAGAGAGAGAGGGCCGAGGATGCAGAAGAAGGTATCTCCTCACCCCATCAGCCTTCATACTCATAGTCTTCTTCATCTGCAGCAGTAGTGAACCTAAGGTTCCTATTCAGTGTGAGGTTTGATTTCTGAGCTCTGGGAAACGTGCCCGAGGCAGTGTCAATATTTTTCATTTTCCTAACTGCACTGAAACTAACGATGCTTACGACAGATGGGGACGAGGGGGAAAACGCAGCCGGTAAAAAGAAGAGGAAGAAGAAGAAGAAGAAAGGATGTGAGCAGTTTACCTTTTTACTGCAGCAGTAGTACATCAATGCAGCTGTTCTCCTCACTGAGTGTGAGCTGATAAATGAAAGATGAAAGTCATTAACAGAGCAGGGATAACTTGTGTTTTCTTGTCTTTTTGCTGGGACTTTTTTTCCATTTTGTGTTTTCTCTATCTGGGCCACAGCGAAGGGACAGACTGACCCTCCCTCAGTACCTATTTGTGAGCTCTATCCCAACGGAGACTTTCCAAATGGAGAGGAGTGTGAATATCCCCCATCAAAAGACGGGTGCGTGACCTCAACGCTCCATCAAAAGTTTTCTGCTGTGCCAAGTCTTTATTTAGGTCTCTTTACTTTGCACATGCACGATAGAAATAACACAATGTCTTGTTGTGAGATCAACACTTCAGTCTGCGAGTGTGTGTCTTCCTTTGTCCACTGAAAACAGTCATGTGACCCTGTGTGGTTTGACCCCTCAGACGCAGCGCAGCTTGGAGGACCACCAGCGAAGAGAAGCGAGCGCTGGACAGAGCCAACGAGGAGATGTGGAGTGATTTCAGGGAGGCGGCTGAGGCCCACAGGCAGGTGCGCTCCTACGTCAGGACCTGGATCAAACCGGGGATGACCATGATTGACATCTGGTGAGAAACACATAAATACTATCAGAGTACAATCATGATAATAACAATAACCTTAGCTGTTCAAGTTCAAGCAAACTGAACACAAGTCAAGGAAGACATTCTGAAGAGAGGGAACCATCCTCAAGGTTCAAGAAAAACAGACCAGCTGTCTCCTTTTCAAGCATCTTCTGTTCAGCCTCGCATTGAATCCATCCTGAGTGATCTGACTGCATGAGCAGCTCTGATTGATAGTGTACACCTTGCAATAAAATACAAACTCCTAAAAGTATCCTGATGCATGCTCAATAATCCAGGTAGAAAAATCCAAAAAAGTTCAATCTGGTCCTCTGGACATTCAAAAACAAAACAAACCAAAAAAATCTAGAAACGTTTCGTCTCTCATTTTGTTTTGTTTTTGAATGTCCAGAGGACCAGATTGAACTTTTTTGGAAACTCCTAAAAGGTTTTCTTCAAAACAGATGCAACGTTTTTTTTGCCATCATGTCTAAACAGCAGTTACGATTGCAGTTCTGCAATGTGCACGTCTAACATTCTCACACAATCTGAAAACGTATACAGTTTCCAGGTTTCATTTACATGTAAAAAGGGTCTAATGCAGATAGATATGTCTACACAGCCTGAGTGAAGACGTTTTCAATTCTTATTGAGGCCGTTTACACCTATATTTGGTTTGGTTGGTTTTCTAATTATCTCATATAGGAGGCCATGTGTTCAACACAATGGTATTTTTCCCAGTTGTTTAACTGTCAACAATGGTGTACCACAAAGCTCAGTCTTAGGACCCACCACCTTTACAATTTATATAAGTTATGTAAATCAGTTCATTCCTGATGCATCCTTCCATTTCTATGCCGACGATACAGTTGTTTATTGTCGAGCTAAATCAGTTGCTAAGGTGTTCCAGATTTTACAGTCTGCACTCGACATCATCCAGTCAGATTTGTTCCGTCTCAAACTGGTGCTAAATGCTGATAAAGCCAAAGGGGTGCTGTTTTCAAACAGGTGGTTGGTACTAGCAGTCCTTCCCTCTTATCTATAAATGGTGTTCTAATGAGTTTGTCGATTCTTACAAATACTTGGAAATCATGGTCGAAGCACATCTCTCCTTTAAGCCTCACGTTAAAAACTTGATAAAGAAAATGAAATTAAAATTGGGTTTCTTTTTCAGAAATAGATCTTATTTAACTTTGAATAGTAGGAAACACCTTGTAACTGCGACTTTCTTCCCCTCCATTGATTACAGTGACATTATTTACATGAACGCTCCTACAAGCACCCTGCAGATGTTGGATGCTGTCTATCATGGTGCACTAAGATTCATAACTGGCTGTAACTACCGTACCCATCACTGCACACTGTATTCACTGGTTAACTAGTCACCATTAACTTCATGCAGACTCTCTCACTGGTACATTTTCATCGTTAAATCACTTCTTGGTCTGCTGCCTTCATACATCTCCTCCTACATGTCTCTGTGTGAGTGCAGCTACAGCGTGCGCTCTCAGGACATTATTACCTGCAGTGATCCCTCAGTGAGGACTGAACTACGTAAAAGGTCCTTCTTCTACTCCACTCCTGTTTCCTGGAATATCTTACAAAAAGATTTGAAGCTCTCGACCTTGACCTCTAAATGGCTTTATGAATCTGTTAAGTTCATGGAAAAAAACAACGCAGACATGTTCCTGTTTTTAGTCTTTTACCCCGTATCATAATGTAACTTATTTTTATTTCGTTTTAAATCACTACTTTTGTTTACTTCTTATTTTATAAGCTTTTTATGACTGTTTGTTGTGTACCTCATCTGTGTTTATTTTTAATTTTATTTTATTACAGGTCTCTCTTGTAAATGAGTCCTTGTGACTCAGTGAGACTCACCTGTATAAATAAAGATTGAATGAATTTACCATCAAGTGGTTGAATCAAGACAGGTCGGATGTTAATGCAAGGTCTAAACAGACAGGACACTGGTGGAGTTTCATCTGCTCCAGTGGTTCTAAGAGCTCTAATCCTCCCGTCTTTTTGTTGTTTTCTGTTCTCCTGGCAGTGAGAAACTGGAGGATTGTTCCAGGAGGCTAATCAAAGAAAATGGGCTGAAGGCAGGCCTGGCCTTCCCCACGGGCTGCTCCATCAACCACTGTGCTGCTCACTACACCCCGAACGCAGGAGACCCCACTGTGCTGGGCTACGACGACGTCTGCAAGGTTGACTTCGGAACGCACATCAACGGTGAGAACTCATCACGTTTTATTTGCTTTTGGAGTCGTCCTGGACCAGTTCATATTTGATGTGACGACTTCAAAATGAAAATGAAACTAAGCAACCTCTGAAGAACAATTAAAGACCTAGCAATGCTTGAAGGAATGCATATCGCCCACCGCCTTGGACCAAGATCTGGTGTAATAAGTAGCACCCGGATGTCTCAGCTCCGACCACACCAAACTTTAGCTAAATACTGTACAACTGAAAAAGCACGTTTGTGTTTCCTACTGTTGTGTTTTCTCCAGAAGTTGTAGTTGTATCAAATTTGTCTGGTGGTTCATGAGATATTTTATAACAAACATACAAACACTAGTAGTCCCTATGTAATATTTCAGCAAAGTGATCGCTTCACAACAAATGTAATAACACTGGTTCTGTTCTTTCAGGTCGAATCATTGACTGTGCGTTCACTGTCACTTTCAACCCAAAGTATGACAGACTGCTGGAGGCTGTGAGAGACGCAACCAACACGGGCATCAGGGTAAACCCAGCTTCTCCTTCCTCTTTATTTGCTTTGTTGGCTTCATTTTAAAAGAAACACAGAAGACCTTCACGAGAGCTGTGATCGTCATCCAGTTGACGTGTCTGCATCTGAGTGGAAGTGTTTCATGGACAGACTCCTAACATGACACCACAAATGTTGCAGTGTTCTTGAAAAGGCGGCTCGGTGTTCTTCAAACGGCTGATTCAGAATAAAAATCTGTGACTAAATATGAGCAGATATGAGACAAAAATGCACCACAAGCAGACCACATAATTCACAGGGGGAGCTGAGGGGACAGGAGGCATGTCCTGTTGGAGTTTTGCAGAAGTCAGTACATTTAAAGCAGTAATTCAGATAATTCAGATCTTTTGAGGTGGGGTTCAGTGGAGCTGTTATGAACAAACAATGTCTTACCTGTTGTAGATAGCATTTTGAATACTTCATTTTGGAGAAATATAAGGAATAAATTTAATTTGCATTGGATTGATGATGATGATGTGAGTGTGTATGTTGGGGGGTGGGATCAGTTTCATTTCTTCATGGTTGCAGTCTGCTGGTTCTCAAAGTATTTGCACTTTGAAAATGTTGTCCTTGGTGTGTGCAGTTTTCCTTCTGAAAAAGAGTATAGTTGTGTTTTTTGTTTTGTGTTCACTACTCAACTCACTGGATTTTGTATCCTAAATATATAATTTGAAAACTATCCACACAACTTCCTGATACTCTTTATTCTGATGTGAGGAAATAAGTCTTTCTGCATAATTTGTTTTCTTTATTCATGGAGAAAGACAACAAATCTACATTGTTGAATAAAGGTAGCAGATCCTTGTTGTGGAATAAAACTACTTTATTTGGCTTTCTAACTAATAATAGATCAGAATCAATTGTTTTATATTTATGAGGTTCTACTAATCCCAAATAGCAAAAGGGAAGAAGAAAAAAATCTTAAGACTCAGGAGGAGTCAAATATGACACAATTATGCTGCAATATATGATTTTATAATATATCTAAAAAAGTTAAGTCTGGTCCTCTGGACATTAAAAAAAAAAGGTAGAAATGCTTCTACTTTTTTTTGAATGTCCAGAGGACCAGACTTAACATTTTTAGATTTTTCTACCTCTATTATTGAGCATGCATCAGGATATTTTATAATATAATTTAATGCAATGTTTTTGAAATATAGTGTAATTTAAGGTAATGTTTGAAGCACTTTGGTTCTGCAAAATAACAGGATGAGGAACATTATTTTCCAAAAAAAGACTGTAATAAATTTTATGTGTGCACGTATTTTAGTGTAAATTTGTGAAAATTTCAATGTTTCACTATTGAATTGTTGAAATATGATATATTATCAAACACTCTTTGTGTGAAGAATGCACTTACATCATTAGCAGTGGAACTATGGAAGTCAACAAAAAACAGAATTTATTGTCGCCTGAGTTACATTACACTGCCTTCACTAAATAAAGTTTTTTTACACATGTCCAAGTATTGCCTTTTACAGTGGTTGGATATGACAGTAGTATTTGTTGTACTTTACTAATTGCTGATATTACAGTATGTCTCAAATGGCTGTAAGTGGCTGAAGGTAGGGGGAGAGTATCTGCTCTATTATTCCACTTTAACCTCTGATCTTTGTAGATATGATCATATAGTGATAATACAGGTAAACTTTGCATCCACTTGGACACTTGAAAATGTTCACATCAAGCAGAAGGAAGAACAGAATGTCTTTATGTGCATGAGGAGCGTTGTGTAATTTCCTGGTAATCTCTGTCCCAGTTTGCTGGAATCGACGTGCGACTCTGTGATGTTGGTGAGACCATTCAGGAGGTCATGGAGTCTTACGAAGTGGAGATAGATGGAAAAACATATCAAGGTCAAACTTCATCATTTCTTCATGCACAGCCTCTGTAATGTTCCCTGCAGACACAGTCTCACCGTGCTGCTTCTGTTTGCAGTGAAACCAGTCAGAAATCTCAACGGTCACTCGATTGGACAGTACAGGATCCATTCAGGGAAGACGGTCCCCATTGTGAAGGGAGGAGAGGCCACCAGGATGGAGGTTTGTGCCCAAACATCACTGCAGCCTCTAAAATAATAACTTTTGGAATCAGCCCACACATTTCTCCACATTAGATGATCTGATTATAAATCAAAGAATATAAATTCCTTCAAGGAACGCCAGGTCTTTTATTTTTAAGAGTAATTAGAAGAACTTTCAGCTGGTTGGGTTACGGCGGGCTGTGGAGAAGTGTTTCATTTCACAGCTCCTTGATCACACTCATCAGCATTTTAATTGAGCTTCACACAAGAGCATTATCGTGAGAAACCAAAGTTCACAATCTGAGCAGCTCTTACACGTTTTCAGACTGCACTGAGGTGCTCTGCTCCCTCGCAGTCACACATCTGCAGCACGTGGCTGGGTTTGGACAGAAGCAGCATTTTAATTGGCAAGTCGCTGCGTCAAGCTTTTTACCTGATGGTTGCAGGAGAGAGGGGATGGGGGGGGAGGGGGGGATGCTGATGTGGCAGCTTTGTACATTGTAGTTTTAGTTGAAGTGTGTTGGTGCAACCGCTCTCTCTCTCTCTCTCTCGCTCTTCCTGTGTTCAGAAAGTGCACGTCCGGCCGGAGCGGCAGCTGGGTGTGCCACGGAGCTGCTGGCACTTTGACTGATTATCGGTGCAGCGGCGGAGGGCGTCGGTGTTATCAGCTAACACCACGCCGCTCTGATAAAGACACAAACTGTCAATGAAACCCGTCCAATCAAACTGCGTTAGTCAAGAACCCACACTAGCATCCCCTGTAGACCTCTAATGAATCTCTCACTGACTGACAGCTTGAAGTTTTTATCAAATTTATGAAGTCCCACCCCCACCTTCAGTGTCTGTGTCCTTTCAGTAGTATACATTCTGTTCTGCTCTAAAGGACTTTCACCACCATTTTTCATTCCATGTCTGCAGCCTAAAAAAATTATATATTTTTTTACCTGACAGGAAGGTGAAGTTTACGCCATTGAGACGTTCGGCAGCACTGGAAGAGGCGCAGTCCACGATGACATGGAGTGCTCTCACTACATGAAGAACTTCAACGTTGGACATGTGCCTATAAGGTTCATCTTTTCATCCCATACGTCAGCTGGAGCAGGGGTTCTCAAACTTTTTGGGTTCAGGGACCCCTTACAGGGCGACTGTGGCTGAGTGGTTAGAGCAATTGTCCTCCAATGCAAGAGTGGGGGGTTCGAATCCACCAGTAGTCACATGTCAAAGTGTCCCTGGGCAAGACACTGAACCCCTCATTGCCTCTGATGTGTGTCCCATCAGTGTATGAATGTGATAAAGCTCTGATTATTTTTTGTACAGATCTAGTAGAGAGCTGTTTGAATGGGTAAATGAGGCACAGATTGTGTTGTAAAAAGATTTTAGTTTCTAGATAAGATAGAAAAGTGCTATATAAGTACAGTCCATTTACCATTTACATAATGAACACAAATGAATTGCCACTTCTTCAAATTATTACAGAAAACTGTTTACATAAAACTGAAGAGAATCATAACAGCAGCAGTCAGACCAAGTTTTTTCCCTTTCGGCTTCTCCCTTCTTCAGGAGTCACAGCGAACTAAGTCGCACGAAGACTTGGCAATTGTTTTTATGCCGGATGTCCTTCCTGACGCAACCACAGACCACCAAGCTGCCACAGCCCTCTGAGTGGAGCAGAGAGCTGTCATCTAGGGCGCCCGGGGGTTAAGGGCCTTGCTCAAGGGCCCAGAGTGGTGTAAATGAGGGTGGAGGCTGGCATGGGTGTTTCGCCTTTGCCACCCACATTTTTGATGTTGTCGGTACCGGGAGTTGGACAGGCGATCTTCTGATCACAGGCCCACCTTCTCTAACCTCTGCGCCACCACTCCCAAGCAGTAGTCATATCAACTAATAGGGCTTAATTTGTAAACTGATTGATGCCAGAACGCAAATAGTGGGCGGGCCAGCGGGGGTGTTCTGGGGGTCCCATCCATCCATCCATTGTCTTTACCCGCTTATTCCTTTTCGGGATGGGGGGGTCACTGGGGCCCATTTCCAGCCATCACTGTGTGAGAGGCAGGGGACACCCTGGACAGGTCTCCAGTCCATCACAGGGACACATAGAGACAAATGAGACAAACAACCATTCACTCTCTCACTCACACCTAGAGACAATTTAGAGTTACCAATCAGTCTAACATGCATGTTTCTGGTCTGTGGGAGGAAACTGGAGTACCTGGAGAAAACCCACGCATGCACGGAGAGAACATGCAAACTCCACTCAGAAAGTCCCTCCAGCTGGGATTTGAACTGGGGTGACCAGCTCACTGAGAGGCAGCAACTCTACCAATTGCATCACCATGCTGGCCTCGTTCATCGAGTCCTCCCCCAGAATATTTAGAATAAAGTAGATGTGATTTCCTGCATTTTGGTGTATTTTAACAGGTTGTTAAACATCTACGTGCTTGTAAAATATATATATATTTTTTTGTTTGTTTGTTTGTTTTTTGTTTTTTTTGGCAGACCCCTAAGCACCAGTTCATGGACCTCTGGGGGTCCGGGGACCCCAGTTTGAGAACCACTGAGCTAGACTAGAGAATACCCCTAAATGTCTTTTTAATCTTTTAACTACCCAACAAAAGGCGAGTGGGATCGCATATATTCACTGAAGCTTTCAGAAAAGTAATTATTAGATGTTCCAATTTTTAACTTTTGAGATCAGCCTGATCCAAAATGGCCTCTACAGTCAACTGATCTGAGAAAACACAACAACAGCCATACTTCAGGCAGGTTTACAGATACTGACCTAACATTTGCTGTGGTAGTAACTGAGAGTTCTCCCCAACACAAACTCTGGTCAGTACACAGTATAGTACACATTGTGCAAAATATATGTTTAAAACTGTGCCATTACCTAATGGAGCCAATCCTGTTTGTCTGTTAGCAAAATATCACATTAACTACTTGACCAATCAATATGAGACTTTCAGAATGTTATCAATGAATGGATATCTAACACTACTTAACTTTTAGAGTCTGTCCAAATGAAGTTGACCGACACAGCAAATCAAAAGTAGCAAACACAAAATGTTTATAACAGCCAATTTTGCAGATATTGAGCTCAAATTTGATGTGGTAGTACCTGAAAGTCGTTCACAACAAAAGCTCAGAGTGTCAGATATCATGTTAGATTGTGCATAACGTTATTTTCAAGGTTTGACTACAACTTGTTCATGTCTCGGCAAAAAATAATCTTGGTTTAAAACTCTAAATGACGGCAGGATATTCATTAAACGCTAGGCCTTTTCTTTTAGTTTGTTGGGTTTTGTGTTTGTTTTTTCTTCACTGTTCTCCAACTTTCCGACAGACTTCCAAGAGCTAAACACCTGCTGAATGTGATCAACGAGAACTTTGGTACTTTGGCGTTCTGCCGCCGCTGGCTGGACCGCCTGGGGGAGAGCAAGTACCTGATGGCCCTGAAGAACCTGTGCGACCTGGGTATCGTCGACCCTTACCCTCCTCTCTGCGACATCAAGGGGAGCTACACGGCTCAGTATGAGCACACCATCCTGCTGAGGCCCACCTGCAAGGAGGTAGTGAGCCGAGGAGACGACTATTAAGCATGTTGCCACAAAGTCCAGGCAAATCAAGAGGAGCGTGACTGCTCGGTGACAACAAACCTCCTCAGACTGACAGCAATAATGCAATTACTTATCTGACCTACAGCTGTGGTCAGAAGGTTACACTCACTCATCGTCATGGGCATGAATGTTGTAGAGGTTTAGGGCTCTTTAGAATTCATTTGAACCTTTTACTTATATATGGTGGGATGAATACACAACTTTTAACTCTAAGTGTATTCAAAAACAAGAATATGGAGCACAAGTTTGGATTTATTGTGGATTTTCTCCAAACTGTATTTGGTCAAAATGATAGTGTCAAGGACTCAAAGAGTTACAACTAATAATTGGTTTAATATGAAAACAATAACCCAAACAAAAATAGCAGCTACTCCTCCACCTCAGCCTGTTGTTCCAGATATATGAACATTTAAATAATTATCAGGAGTGGATTCATTTATAACTAACAAGATCCTCTCTCAAGTACTCAATTTTTTAAAAAAATCATTCAAGTTCTTCTTCTTTCAGCTGTTGCCTCTTCAGGGTGTCCACAGTGAGTCATCCTCCTCCACCTCTGTCCTCTGTGTCCTCTGTCCTCACTCCAACTACCTCCATGTCCTCTCTAACTGCATCCATGTAGCTCCTCTTTGTCTTTTTCCTGGCAGCTGCATTTCTAACATCCTTCTACCAATATACCCACTGTCCCTCCTCTGGACATGTCCAAACCACTGTCTCTCTTCTGGACATGTCCAAACCCTCTCAGTCTGGTCTCTCTAACTTTATCTCCCAGTTGTTCAACCTGTGCTGTACCTCTGATGATCTCATTCCTAATCTTATCCATCCTTGTCACTCCTTAGGAGAACCTCAACATCTTCATTTTTGCCACTTCCAGTTCTGTCTCCTGTCTTTTTGTCCATGTCTCTGTCTCCAGACCATATAACGTAGCTGGTCTCACAAGTGTCTTGGAAACTTTACAAGAAAAACAATTCAAGTTATATGTTAGTTATTTACTAAACCCCGGAAAAGAAACATATTAAATAAATCAAGTCTCTATCTAATATGACATCTATACAGATGATGAGTGAATGTAAACTTCTGAGCACAGTTGTGTGTTCCCACTGCTTGAATACCTTTAAATAACTGTTTCAACAATGTGAAGTGTTTGTGTCTGAGCAGTGGCTCCATGGAATTTTATTTCCTCTAAAGATAAAGCCAGCAGACAAGGAACATATTTATAAGTGATGTGCTGCTTCAACTTTCATTTTCTGCTTTTAGGAAATATGCAAAACATTATTACAACAACTCGTGCAAAAAAAGGTTTAGGTGAGCACCTCTCCTGAACATATTACGTTTTATTGTATTTTTGAGCTATTATTATGTCAACAAACTGCTATGAAACATTTATATTTCTATTCTTTTTGCTTTGTTTTAATTTTAAAGCAATTTTGTAAAAAATAAATATATTGTTACAAATTGATTGATTGATTGATTGATTATGTATTGAAAGCTGTTGGATGTAAAGAAGTCCTGAATGAGTCCACTATGAGAGGTACAGTCGTTCAAATGGATGAGATTCAGGACCTATGGTTGAGTTTCCAGTCGTGAAATGTGAATCAGCTCCGGATAATTTGTAAGAAACCTAAAATCAATTCCATGTTGGTTGATCTTTATCTCTTTCACCGAGGCTCACCAAGTTAACCAGAGGATGGGCAGTCTTACAGTTTTTAACTCCATCTACTTGTGCATACTCAGATCCAGAAGTGGAGAAAACAAAGACCTGCGTGATGGTGAGAAGAAGAATGAGCAGAGAAAGAACTCCCAGTTAGAAGCTCGTTCATAAAGAAAACCAATTCAGTTCAGTTTATTTATATAGCACCAAGTCACAACAGAAGTCGTCTCAGGGCTTCACATGCAGTTCATTATAAATGCCTGTTAGTAAAGTTATCTATCGAAGGAGAGAAGGAAGCAAAACAGAAAAAAGAAAACTTTTCCACTAGTTGAGCAGTGGGGAGGGTCTAATAAAATGATGTCCCAACAATAAATTAAAGACAGCTGAGCTAACTTTATTTTGAATTACCAGACAAAAAACACAAAGCAGCAAACAACATGTAAACAAACCAGGAGAAACTCTGTTATCTTAGTAAATGAGTCATACTTGATGTCTTGCTTGACGTGGAGAAATACGCACAAGAATTCCATTATGTTTAAATTCTTAACTTGTACAAACAACAATAAAATTATATTCTATTCTACTTACACAGTTTTAAGTAGCATAAAGAAATCAAGTCTTCTGTTCGTCTGTAATCTAACTTTACAAGAGAAAACCAATCAGTGTCACTTCTAAACATTCAAATTAAGAAGTAAATAAAGTACTTTCCTGGAATGACTCCAGGGTTGCACAGCGGCAGTGGTGTGTGTGTGCAGGCTGGTGTGTGTGCAGGCTGGTGTGTGTGCAGGCTGGTGTGTGTGTATGTGCAGGCTGGTGTGTGTGTATGTGCAGGCTGGTGTGTGTGTGTGTGCAGGCTGGTGTTTGTGCAGGTTGGTGTGTGTGTGCAGGCTGGTGTGTGTGCAGGCTGGTGTGTGTGCAGGCTGGTGTGTATGTGCAGGCTGGTGTGTGTGCAGGCTGGTGTGTATGTGCAGGCTGGTGTGTGTGCAGGCTGGTGTGTATGTGCAGGCTGGTGTGTGTGCAGG